AATTCAATTAACTGAATACATTTTATTCTTAGACTAGTTTCTACCCACGGTTTCACTCACGCTCTTTTTAAGTATTAAATGCAGGTTTACAAAAGAAAAAAAGGATTGGTGCCCGATGTTTTGCGGGTAGCAAATAGGTATGATATCAATGTTAGGTTTCTTGGAATGGTATGATTGTTCTATCCCCGAAATCCTACGGGATAGGAATTGCATTAAACTTCTGGTCTCTCTATCTATTAAACCATTAAACTTATTTGAGTTGAATTCGGTACGACAATAGTTTGAGACTCGGAAGTCGCCCGAGAGTTTTCAACCGCTTTTACCTATTTGATCGGTATTAAGGCATTGGCTGCCAATAAAAAACTATTGAAGGCAAATCCTCCGCTAATGTCGGTCACCAGTGACTGCCATGGCGTTTAACGTGTTAAACTGTCAAACACCAAGCGGTCACCGGTGACCGCAACCTATTGTTCTATAATTGTGTCTATAATGACGGTACTCGACGAGTTAAAACGAAATTTAATTTTTGAAACCTCATGGGAATTGAATCGGTTCTGATGAGATTCGTTACATAGTGTTGGAATTAACCACGGAAAAACTAATTATTAATCCAAAATTTGAGGAAGCTAGGACCTAAGAGGTAGTTAAGGAGACGGACAAACGATACTTTTTATCCAAGAATTTTCCGAAAATCCTACGGGAACGGTACAAAACGGAATTGCGCGTACGAAGTCTAGTTATTGTTTATAAAACGAAAGAATGATTTTATTAATTAAAACTACAAAAAAATTATTTGTCTCAGTTTTATATCGTTTACAAAATTAGCTTCTATATATTTTGGTATCTTTTAGACTTTTAGTATCACTCACCCGAGTCATTTGAGATCACCATAAATCGGCATGTCTCTTGAATATCATAAAGAGCTGTATAAAATTTCTCAAATTCCAAACTCAGTAGGAATGCAAACAATATTTTTTTTAAAAACCAAATAGAATATGGTGTTAAATATTCTACTGCCGCTAAGAATTCTGCGTACTGAAATAAAAAAATAATATGTCAAAGAATTCACAAGGTGCAAAAGTAGAATTAATATGTGAAATTATCTGCCAGGCAATCTTTGGTTAGCCCACAACGGTTACTCTTAAAACAAATCTCATTGTCAATTTAAGTTCAACCCAAAGTAATATCTGTGTTCAATATCAATACTAAACAACCCTAATCGTAGCCGTTAAAATAGCATGCAGAATACAGAACACAAAGCTAAACTCAATACCATTTAGTTCATTCAATATCTACACAATACAGATGCAATGGGTGCTTGTCTTGCAACTTCATCGGATTCAAGAGTGAGCCCCCTGAGTCGACTATATTCTATTCACTACAAATGAGTGTGTAACAAGTATCAGTAATATCGCGTTCTGTGCGCGCCTCAAAGAGCCATCAGACCACCACAGATGGGGTCAAATAGGGCTGATGCCGACACGAACCGGTGGAGGACTTAACGGGTTGCCGGCGCTCCTGCTCGAAGTGCAGGAGTAGGAACGGAGTGGTTTTTAGTCAGTAAAAGTCTGACACTCCTTCTTGCCTCACCCGGGCAAGAGAAGTCATTGGATGATTTTCCCCCCTAAAAAAGGGAATCGATAATAAATGTTAAAAGAAAATAAATTATAACAAATATAATCTTGAATATATTAACTTACACTACTTGCACTGCTCACGATATTTTGAACATCAGTTAGGCTTACACATAAAGTAAGTACCAAGTGAAATAAAATCTGAAACAAAGGTACATAACAAAACATTACAAAAAGAAAACGTAAACACCATAATCCATAAGATGTATAAAAATGAAATATTTACTTGTAGCTGGTAACATATCCTATAGATATCGTAGCACTTCAATATATCATCGTAAGTCTTAAATAAATTTTGGCAGTAATATTTCTTTTCACTCTCTGCCATATTCTGAACATTTTTCACTTGAGTATTCCACAAAAAAACTTTATCTTTTAAAAGCGTAATGATCCTAATAGCATAAACCATATTTGTATCAAAACAAACTGCAGCGAATCCACAAAAAATATTATAAAATGGGAGTTGGAAATGTATATAAATGAAAACTGTAAAAACTATAGAATAAATAGATAATGAAAAGAATATGATCCAGTTGCAAATATTATAACGTTTGGATACGTCTTTGTCGTTGTGCAGTCTATGAATACCCAAAAACTTCAAAACGAACATAATATTATTATCAGCTTGGAAGAAAGACGACAAAAATGTAATGATAATTCCAAAGGAGGGGATGACAAAATCGGTGATAAGAGAACATTTATTGTTAGCCGTTAAGTGACTGTGAATCTTTCCCGTAGCAATTCGATCGAAGCTACGGTAGACAAAAAGAAAAATTGACACAATTGCGACGCATAGGGACATCAAAGACACTAGACAACTATTACGAGTTATTACATTGTTAACAATTCTATATTTTGGATAGCCCCAAATAATTTGCATTAGGTTCAGTGGCTGAAGTAATGATTGCACATCTTTGTCGATGAAAACAATTGGCTTGTCTTGATACTGTTGACTTATTTTCCTTTGTCTCATAATTTCCATTGTTTTTATTTTGATACTATGTTTTATGTAGTGAAGTGCTGTGAGTTATACATGTTGTTGAACATAATGCGTTCTGAGTAATTAATTTGAATAAAACAAAACATAGTATGTCTGGTTAGCAACGGTTGTGACGCTCTTACTAAAATTAAGTTTTTCAATAATTAAATCAATTGTAAGTATCGAAAAACTACATAGTGTTTTAAAATAAATTACACTGGTACCTAATAATTATTATTTTAAGACTACAAGACTGACGTCACTCAAATGTTTAATTTTTTATTTTTCTGTACGCATTTAGCACCTCGCATCGTGATCGAAACGAAATTGCACAATTGCGACACATAGGACTAACATCTGCGATAAACTCTTATCTGTTTTCCAGACAGCATAAGCTGCAGCGCTTAATCGTCCCGCTAGAGATGTATTATGAGGACCCTATTGTAATTTGTTGTTTACAGTAATTCCCATGAAAATAGTCTCTTATACAAATTCAAATTTCTCACTATTCAGTATTATGCCGTATTCGTTATTTTTAACGTTTGGCAAAACAATTCTAATGTATTTTGCCTTTTTATCATTCAGCACTAAATTATTTATTGTGAACCAGTTTTGAACCTTCATCGAAGCACTATTTACATCGTCATAATTATTTGTTCGTCTATTTATTTTAAAAACCAATGATGTGTGAGAATAAATGGGGCAAGTCATTTATATATGCCAAAAATAGGAAAAGACCTAGTATTGAGCCCTGCGGTACACCCATAGATATTCTAGCACCCTGTGAGTTTACCTTATTTACTTGCATCTTAAATTGCCTATCCCAAAGATATGACTTTAATAGAGTTAGCGATATTCCTCTAATGCCAGTATCGTAATCGTAGTATTCCAGCTTCAGCAAAAGCCTTTCGTGCTTAACACAGTCAAATGCCCTCGAAAAATCACAGAATATTCCAATTGCATCCTGTGCTTCTTCCCATGAGGCAATAACACGTTTAATTAAAGCTACTCCCGCGTCAGTAGTGCGGCGTTCGGGTACGTGTCGCTCGGTTCACCAAGGTATTGGTGAACCCGTATTGTTGATCATGAAAGATAGAATTCGTGTTAAAGTGGCGCAGCATCTGAACAAGCATTAGTCTTTCAAACACTTTACTAAGTACTGGTAAAAAAGAATCCGGCCTATAGTTATTGGGTTCCGCGCTATCACCGGATTTAAACAATGAAACTACTTTACTGATACCATAAACTATATTTGTATCAAAACAAACTGCAGAAGACCCACAAAAAACATTATAAAACCAATATTGGAAATTTATAATAAAGAGGGTTGTGAAGAAGGAATAAATGGTCAACGTATAGAATAAAACCATGCATGGTCTATTTGATTAGCAACGGTTATGGGTTTATTACCAATAGCGGCCCGTCCCGGCTTCGCACGGGGGGACTTAAGATTTTTTACATAGTTTTACGTTTTATTTATATTTATTCTCAGTTTTTTTTTATTTAGGAAGTATTTATCTTTTGAAAATATTTTTCCGGACTTCATTAAATGAAATAATCATTTATTTAATTAATTATTTTCTTCTTAAATAGGAACCTACCTATTATAAGGATTGAACCATTCATTAAAACGATTGTTATGAGTAAACTATAAAAGGTAGACATATGCTCTCGCGGACTTTTTTAAAAATAATGTTAAGATGAACAATTCATCTATAGAGCATTTTTGTATAACTTTAACTATATGCTCAGCGCACGCCACGGAAGGCCTCAGAAACGATACTTTTCCCCCGTTTTTAAAACATTTTTGGTTACTGCTCCACATCTATAGGACCTAGCGTGATATTATATAGCCTATGTTACTTCTGAATAATGCAGCTTTCTAATGGTGAAAAAATTATTGCAATCGGCCCAGTAGTTTTTGAGTTTATTCATTACAAACATACAAAAATACAAAAATACAAATCTTTCCTCTTTATAATATTAGTATAGATATAGATTTAACTTTACTAAACTTATATTTTAAAAGAAACTAAATGGGCATTTAATAATAGGTATTTTATGTACAGTGCCGCGGAATGAAAATGGAAGTGTCCTTTTGCTAAAGAAAACCTGTACATAGCATAATGAACTTTATATCAACTGAATAATAGATAAATTAAATACCAGCCAGTAAAGTTATATTGGTTGTAAAACAAAAGGATATAAGATAATGAACAGTTAATGAAAATACCGGTTTAATCACGTAACAATAACGGTGACGTTGCCACGTCCGCCTACGCTGCTTACAAGGAAGAATCCCTCTATGACTCGAAACTGGTAGAGCGTTCCTCGATATTTATGTAAGTAAACCAGTATATTTAATTAATTTAATACGTCTCACGACAGTTAATAAAAAAAAGATTATACTCGGTACAGATTTAATGATTTACAATTTTAAAGTCCACTTTGAAATGGCAAATTGAAATATGATGACAAGGAACTCTAAAATCAAAGAGCAGAACTTCTGTGGTAAGTTTCCATCAATGGTGAAGATGTGGACAGCTGACATTTTGTGGAACACCGCATGATTAAACCTTCGTATATTCTTACATAATCTTTTTTCATACACTGTAATCGAGAACAAAATACTTATATTATGTTAACCTCCTTTTATTGTGTAGCTCATGATATTATATCAACGGCTCGTCAGAGTCTATTGGGAGTATTCTAATTCAGTTGCAGGCCACGCTCTGGTGCGACGCGTCTTGTGTCCGCGATGAGTGGGTATCAACCCGCAGTGTTTTTTGTGCTCATTGCAGACGCAAGACGCATCGTGCCAGCGTGGCCTGTGACTTAGACTGTTGGAGTGGTTTGCTATTGTCTACAAGCTAGGAATATGGTTTGGAGATCGCAAAAGTTTTAAGTTTATCATAATGCTGCTGCGAACTTTCTGTTTAGAGTGATCAAACAGGTATAGAGCAGCAGCGATAAATCACGTGTTAAGACGAGGCTTTCAAAGAAAACTGACCATAAAAACGCGGGATTTCATTATTTTAGTTTGCGTTACTATAGATTTTGACATACACAAGTTGCATCAGTTGAGTTGGTATAGGAGGCGTGTACCAAGTTATAATATAGGAAAACTATAAATTAATATACTGACCTGTTTTCTGAATAGTCTTCAAAAGGCTACTGCAAGTTTCATTAGTGTAATAGACAGTCATGTAGAACTTCTCACAATTTGCACTGAAGACAATAATTAATGTGATTCGTTTAATCAGCCATAAGGTAGTGACTATATGGAATGGTAAAATCCGAAGCTGGAATAAGAATAAAAAAATCTTTTATAACAATCAAAGTCCACGTCAAGGTCAAAATTATTTATTAAATCTTAAAATTTTGAATAGCACATTATCTTACCGGATCATTCTTAATATTTTCATAATTTTCAATAGCCATTTCAATGAATAATAGTATGTGAGTAAATACGTCAATTGTTTCAAATAAAATCTAAAAATTGATATAAAAATTATTGGTATTTATATTACTAATTCTACTTAAACTTGATCTTTTTATTTTTTAATATGAGCCTCTTTAATCTAGCGTTCGTTCAGTGTAGGCGTTCGATAAACATATGCACTAGTGTGAAGGGGCTCAAAATTAATTTAATTCCAATCCTCTCTCTGTCTCTTACACCAGTGACGTCCTGAGTCAAAATTAGTCGTGAGCCAATTAATCACAATGTTCTTTACAAATAACTTGTCAATTACAATTCGGTGGCGATATTTCCGAATCAATACGACTTTCAAAGCTTCAAGAAAAGAGCGTATTCCTTTTTAAAAGGCCGGCAACGCACCGGTGACTCCTCTGGTGTTGCGGGTGTCCATGGGCGGCGCTGATCGCTTACCAACAGGTGATCCGTCTGCTCTTTGGCATCCTATTCCATAAATATATATATATGTACATATGAAGTACAAAACCATTCTTACCGCATACTGAAAAATTCTTTTAAATACACCAAACGCTTCAACAAGATCCAAGTAAGTATCAAATAGCCTTTCCAATTTTTCTTTATATTTTTCTCCACCGACTTTAACATTAAGTTTACAGTAATATTCAAATTCAGCTATACACGTCATCATCCCATCTTGTATCAAAGCAATTAGTCGCAAACCATACGAAATGTTCACATCAAAATAAAGTAAAGTGTACAATAGGAAAATAGACTGCAAATCGAAATAGAATAACGTACTGAAGCAGAATATGAAAAAGTGAATTAAGACGAAGACCCAGTTCCAAATACAGAATAATCTATAATGCTGATAATGGATGACACGGAAAGCCTTTTGGATGCACAACACCATTCGGACACTGTCAATTCTTTGAACGACGTTTAAACAATAAAATAGAATAAAAGCAATAATTAAGAAGTAGCCGTTGAAAGTGTTGATCCCATTAATGAAGACACTGTATTTTTTGAACCCCATTTCAAAGTAGATTAAAGAATAGAAGATAACTAAGCTAATAGTACCGATGAAGGAAATGATGTAATAGTAAATATTGTGAGGCCTGATACAGTTGTCGTCGATATAGAAACTGGATAAAAACAATGTGTACTGTAGGAACCGCATAGGTAAGAACATTGCTTGGAACTTTCTGTCCAAAAAATTGTTAGTAGACAATATCTTATTCGTTTGCGTCATTGTTACTAGAGTATAGTAAAGAAAATGAATTCGATGAATTATTTTTCCAATGACTGATTCCTTTTTACCCGACTGCCAAAGAAGGAGGGTAATGTTTTTCGAGTGTATGTAAGTATGTATGTATGTCTTTTCCTTTGTGACCACCTGTAGCCTAAACGGCTTGATGGATTTTGATGTATGAGGTATCGTTAGATTTGTCTTGATTACGGGAGTGTCATAGGATACATTTTATCCTAAAAGTCCCACGGGATAAAGACATAATAATATTTTTTCTAAATTTCCCTTTAAAAAAATATGTATGCGGTATCATTAGATTCA